CTGGTCGGCAGAGTGCTGCTTCCGCTCTACTAGGAAGGTGTTAGGGCACCAAAGGCAAGGCTTTCAAGCAACCAACAATTTCCCTTAAGTGACCTCAAGGTTTATCACAAGAGCTACACACAACCAATGATCGGTACCTACACAGACAGGATAAACTTCCGTGTGCTCGCAACAACACTAGCGAGGTTGTCAATCTCACTCTCTTTGCTAGTTATAAAAGGAATTAAAACACAAGTGTGTACATATAGAAATTGACAAAAATGTAAAACAAGGAATCATAAGAACATTGATTGTGGTTGAAAACTTTATGGAAGAGATAGGACCGGGGTCCATAGGTTCACCAGTGGTCTCTCTCAAAAAGATAAGCAACAATATGGTAAACAAATTATAGTTGGACAATGATTAAGTTGCAATATTTTTAAGTATGACTATTCATTGCATAATCAACATATGAGCATCACGTCCATAAATCCATAGACCGTTATCCAACTGCATGTATAACTAATACTCCACCCAAAGATCACTATCCACCATGCATTTCAAAGTATTAAGTAAACAGAGTATTGCATTAAGTATGATGACATGAAGTAGATGATATATTGTCTTCACCCTACGTTCAAGGACATCTACACAATGATATTTTTATCCCTAGTGGCAACAACATCAATACAAAGCTTTTTCCACTTTCTATCACCATGATAGCTTACTTGCACGGTTGAACCCAACCATCATACACACCTCCCTCTATTGATCAGACCCCAAACTTGGCAAGAGAAATAACGAATAGATCAGAGAGCATATATGAATAAGAATTATGTAGCAAAAAATCAAATAGATCTTAAGATAGTTCATGAATAAATCCGATCACAAAGAGACAATTCATCATATCCCTACAAACACAAAGCAAAAATTTCATCAGATGAATCACAATCATGTAGGGCAGTTCATGTGATCTTTGTGTTGAGAAATGAGAGAGAGAGAGAGGAGAGAGAGAGAGAGAGAGAACAATCTAGTGTTACTGACCCATAGTCCAAAGGAAACTACTCACGAGCAATAATGATGGTGTTGAACTTGATGGAGATGGGCATCGTGATGATTTCCCCCTCTTGCAGAGTACTGAAAAATTCCCTCCATAATGGATTGAGATGAAACAGAGATGTGTGGAGGGGAAACGTTTGGGTGACAAATTCTTGATGGTTTTGGGAAGTATATAAAGAAACTATAACCGAGAAGCGGTGGATCGGAGTCCTAGGGGTCAACGCGGCAGGGGGACGCACCCCCTGTTGGGGAACGTTGCAGAAAACAAAAATTTTCCTACGGTTTCACCAAGATCCATATATGAGTTCATCTAGCAACGAGTGATCGGATTGCATCTACATACCTTTGTAGATCACGCGCGGAAGCGTTCAAAGAACGGGGATGAGGAAGTCGTACTCGACATGATCCAAATCACCGGAGATCCTAGCGCCGAACGGACGGCACCTCTGTGTTCAACACACGTACGGTCAGCATGACGTCTCCTCCTTCTTGATCCAGCAAGGGGGAAGGAGAGGTTGATGAAGATCCAGCAGCACGACGGCGTGGTGGTGGATGCAGGGGTCACCGCAGCAGGGCTTCGCCGTTCTACTACGAGAGGGAGAGGTGTAGCAGGGGAGAGGGAGGCGCCAAGACTCAAGGGCGTGGCTGCCCCTCCCTCCCCCCCCTTTATATAGGCTCCCCTAGGGGGCGCCGGCCCTAGGAGATGGGATCTCCTAGGGGGGCGGCGGCCAAGGGTGGAGTAGCCCCCAAGGCAAGTGGGGCGCCCCCCCCCCCTCTAGGGTTTCCAACCCTAGGTGCAGGGGGTGGGCCAAGGGGGGCGCACCAGCCCACTATGGGCTGGTTCCCCTCCCCACTTCAGCCCATGGGGCCCTCCGGGATGGGTGGCCCCACCTGGTGGACCCCGGGGACCCTTCCGGTGGTCCCGGTAAAATACCGGTGACCCCTGAAACTCTCTCGATGGCCGAAACTGCACTTCCTATATATAATTATTCACCTCCGGACCATTCCGGAACTCCTCGTGATGTCCGGGATCTCATCCGGGGCCCCGAACAACTTTAGGGTTACTGCATATTCATATCTCTACAACCCTAGCGTCACCGAACCTTAAGTGTTTAGACCCTACGGGTTCGGGAGACATGTAGACATGACCGAGATGGCTCTCCGGTCAATAACCAACAACGGGATCTGGATACCCATATTGGCTCCCACATGCTCCTCGATGATCTCATCGGATGAACCGCGATGTCGAGGATTCAAGCAACCCCGTATACAATTCCCTTTGTCAATCGGTATGTTACTTGCCCGAGATTCGATCGTTGGTATCCCAATACCTCGTTCAATCTCGTTACCGGCAAGTCACTTTACTCGTACCGTAATGCATGATCCCGTGACCAGACACTTGGTCACTTTGAGCTCATTATGATGATGCATTACCGAGTGGGCCCTGAGATACCTCTCCGTCATACGGAGTGACAAATGCCAGTCTTGATCCGTGTCAACCCAACAGACACTTTCGGAGATACCCGTAGTATACCTTTATAGTCACCCAGTTATGTTGTGACGTTTGGTACACCCAAAGCACTCCTACGGTATCCGGGAGTTACACGATCTCATGGTCTAAGGAAAAGATACTTGACATTGGAAAAACTCTAGCAAACGAACTATACGATCTTATGCTATGTTTAGGATTGGGTCTTGTCCATCACATCATTCTCCTAATGATGTGATCTCGTTATCAATGACGTCCAATGTCCATAGTCAGGAAACCATGACTATCTGTTGATCAACGAGCTAGTTAACTAGAGGCTTACTAGGGACATGTTGGTGTCTAAGTATTCACACATGTATTACGATTTCCGGATAACACAATTATAGCATGAATAAAAGACAATTATCATGAACAAGGAAATATAATAATAATGCTTTTACTATTGCCTCTAGGGCATATTTCCAACACCCCCTAAGGCACGTGGGGGCGGCAAGTGGGGCCCCTAGTTACCCCCGGGCTATGTCGGTTGCTGTTGGAACCCTCTAAACTTGAAAATTTCTCTGATTCTTTTCTCGATTTTTTTGAGCCCGATAAAATTTATTTCTCTACAAATTCCAAGCCAACAAAAAAACTCACACTAGATTAATAGGTTAGTCCAGACTAATAATAAAAATGTATTTAAATATGTGATAAAACTATGCTAATTTAATATAGATATTGACATGAAAAAAGCAAAAATTAAAGATACGTTTGAGATGTATCAAGTGCCAAGCTTCGTCGACCAACTGCAAGAATCCCTTAGGTTGCGACCACAATCTCTCAAAGTGAAATAGGCGCGCCCTGATGAAACGGGCAATGTAGTCGACGAGTAGAGGGAAATGATCTGACGCGTTGTAGGAGAGAAATCTGAGCAAGCAGTGAGGGTCTGCCACCTCCTAGGTAGGAGTGCATAGCACACGATCGTTGCACACGGTAGTACGGGAGTCATGCTCATTAGGTTATGTGTAGTGATGACTATGCAACTAAATGTCCCGAAGCTCCCTCATCCGCAAGGAAACGCCGGAAGTGATTCGTGGTACGATGGTTGATGCAAGAATTGTTCTTGTCTTTGACGGTTGATGCATGAACTTTATATTGAACCGGGCAACTCAAGCTTGATTGCAATGATGTTGGAGTAAGTTATGACTGCGACTTCGTCGACGGTGATCTTCCATGACTGCAGAATTTTGAGTCCAGGATTCACTAAATGTATGAACATTGCGATCAAAATGCCAACGCGTTGGCCCATTTGATAGCGAGGAATAGTTTTCAACCGTCCATTTCATGTATTTGGGATGATGATCTATTGGTGTTATATCAATGAGCATGGTAAATAAAATATCTACTTTTACCAATGAATAAAGTTTTGATGCAGAGGCCCCAGGTTTTAACCTCTTTCTCCAAACAAGAAAACAATGAATAAAGCTAGCCGAATGACATTCCCTAAAAAATCACAAAGGAACGTGCATAACATGTACTCATTTCTTCCGTGGACCAAATGCACTTTGTTTCAGTTATGTTCATGACACTCAAGGTCAACGCTCAAAACCAACAAACAAACAACCAGCAGCACTCCACCATTTAATATCATATCTTTTCCCCTACGCTTATCCCAGCCAATACTTACAGTTACATCGCAGGGTCACTTAGTAGTAGAACCAATAATTGTACCTATTTCTTAGTCGATAAAATTTTCTTGTCTATGTACTTGTACGAATCTAGAAATGATTATGAATCTCACTTTTTAGCATCGATCTAGGAATGGTTACGAACCTCACTATTTAGATCAAGTATTTAGCACCGATTTAATTTTTGCAAATGCAAAAAATCTGACATTAGATTTTTAAGTATGTCAGGTCGCACATTTTTTATGGCAAATTACATGCCACGGGTATGTACAACTTTTTGCAGCACCAGCATGGCAAATTCTCAAAATAAAAAATAGTGAACATGCCAGGATTTGACATGCGTGCTGAAGAGAATTGCCATGTTGGTGACGCGTAATTTATCATAAAAAACATTCGATTTGCCATGTTTAAAAATCTGACATCATGTTTGCAGCGGGCTCCTCTTTTGAATCGTCTGCAAAATATAGCAAAATAGTCTCGAAATAGTTCTGACCAGCTGGGACAGAGAGTTATATTTCTTTAGATGAGCTGGAACAGGGAGTTGACTATTGGCCAGTTCATATGCTTAGAGTAGTTGCAACTTGCGGGTGATGCAAAGTTCCGGATCAGGCATGTTCATCTCCTCCACAAACTCAATTTACATTCTTTTTTTGTCATCTATTACGTGAGTTGGAAACAGACTAGATCGAATGGAGGCTCACGCCGGCCGTTGACCTTCCATTTCATGATGCATATATAATTTGTATACATGCTACTCTGTCTCAAGCATTTGACCTTTATCCCGTTCTTAATTTCCTACCCCTGCAATGAGGGAAGGCAAGCCTGATCCGGCCATCGCCGTCTTCCTCGCCGCCCTCTTCGTTGCGTCGGCGGTGCCCCTGATCAACGGAGCCGACGGGGAAGAGCCCGTAACGCAGCTGTCGAACGGCTTCACCGCGACGCACTTGGCCGACGCGCCGGGGCGGTTCGAGCCGGTGCTGTACTCGCACAACGGCGTCTTCGCCTTCGGCTTCCTCCGCGTCGGCTCGGCGTCCCTGGACCTCGCCGTCGTCCACCTACCTTCGTCCTTCCCACTCTGGCGTGCCACGCCGGACCGTGTCGCCGACTGGTCGCGGCCGGCTACGCTCTCCTTCGACAGCCGCCTGGTCCTCACCGTCCCCAGGGTCGGCGAGCTCTGGAGCACCCTCAACGTCGTCGGCGATACGGTCGCGCTCCTCAACTCGTCCGACCTCGTCATCCGGCTCTTCAACGGGCGCGGTACGCCTTGGCGTAGCTTTGAAAACCCATCGGACACGCTCGTCCTAGGCCAGAACTTCACCATGTCCTCGCCGCCGCTCATCTCCAAGAACCGCCGCTTCTCTCTGCGGTTCGCCAAGACGTACATGGCGCTGTACATGGAGTTCTACGGTGGAAGCAAGAGGCCGATGTACTGGCAGTACACGGCTCGCGAGGCCCAGCCAGAGAACGCAACGCAGCCGCCGGTGTACGGACGCCTGGACAGCCGCGGCTTCTTCGGGTTCTACCTCCTGGGTGGCGACCAGAGCGTCGACATGCTTGCGTTCGACACATTCGTCCGGAACCTCACCGGCGCCTTTCGGCGGATGACCCTGGACGACGACGGCAACCTCCGCGCATACTACTGGACAGAGGGCTCCAAAGCTTGGACCTCCGACTACAAGGCCATTTCCGGGCCGTGCGAGCTGCCGACCTCGTGCGGCGCTTACGGCCTGTGCGTGCCCGGAGGAGCGCCCAGGTGCCAGTGTCTCATCAACAGCACCGCACCGATCGCCCCGCAATGCCGCGCCGAGGAGTCCACCGACCTCTGCGGGGGCGGCGGGGGGCAGCTGTTCGACGTTGTGCGGCGGAACCGGGTGTCACTGGCGTACAAGGAGCAGCTGCCGTTCGAGACGTACAAGACGGCGGCGGAGTGCGAGCAGTCGTGCGCGGCCAGCTGCAGCTGCTGGGGCGCGGTGTACAACGGCGGGAGCGGGTACTGCTACCTCGTCGACTTTCCCGTGGAGACGGTGGTGTACGAGGCCGACGACCGGAAGGTGGGCTATTTCAAGATCAGGAAGGCGCGACAGCATAGCGCAGCGGGGCGGGGCATGTCGCCAGGCGTGACAGCCGCGGTGGTGGTTGCGTCGCTGGTCCTGGCGAGCCTGGCCGTGGCCGGGGCGTACGTCGGGTGGCAGCGGTGGCTGCGGCAACGGCGGGCTGGCGGTGTGGGGATGGAGCAGGAGCTGACGCCGGGCCATTACAGGGACCTCAAGTCCATGGACAGCCCAAACAATTCCTTCAAGACGTGATCGGTGCGACTGTATTGAAGCTGAACCCATCGCCCGGACGTTGCGCGCTCGATCGATCGGTACCATGCCCATGCCATACGGATTGCTGAGCTGCAGAGCTTGGAGAAAGAGGATTGATGGCTGCAGCCAGCTCTGCTCCATTCAGAATTACATAGGTTTCAGAAACTTATTTTTTTTTACGTAAGGGATCGTAGTGACGTAGTCCATCCATCGTGTAGGCTTTTTCGTTCCCATTCTTTTCACCATCTCTGTATCTGAAGTTCTGAACATGTATGCTCAATCGTGTATAAGTATCCGGTGGAGATTTCAACATCATGCATTGCCAAGAAAAGAGCAAACGATAATCTTGATGCAAGATATCCTTTTATATTTAATGTTATAATTGAAAGTATGAACCTAATTAAGGGAAGTCGTTCTCTTTGGCAAGTAATCTTTGAAAGAAAATCTAGTATGTCCTAAGTGGGTTTTTGGTGTGATGACAAGTGATTAGGGGGCTAATGAACATGGTGACTTGTTTGAACAGTTTTAGCCTCATACATAAAAGATGTGGCATCTATTTGACTTCAAGCTTCATTTAAGAACACCACAACCACACTATTAAGAGAGGCTGCACAAGGTATGAGGTGGATTCATGGGCCAAATTCATCTTATTTCATCGCCTTTATACCTGAGACAAAGCCCCAAAGTGCTCCGGGCCAATGTAGTGCTTTGATTCATTTAACCGAACATCCTGTATACCAGCCCAGAGATCTATGTCTTCTAGCATACATATCACTTTATTCAAATCCAAACAACAACATTTTACACTAACAGTAGACAGACAAAAATACAGTCTCATGAGCCACGGGGGTTCGATTACGACAATCTTAAAAGAGGCCAGGGCAGCAAACTATTTTACATTATCTATCACTAATCATGGGGCATCAGAAACTAGTAGCACAAGACACAAGAGAGCAATACATAGGTGATACTCCAATCCTTAGGGACACTGTTGGACACTTCCTAATTCACGACATCAAATTCCGTACCGTATGTATATAACCTCACGCATTGTAACGCCCTCGATGCGGCTATATCTCCTACGTGTCGAAGCACGACTTAGAGGCATAACCGCATTGAAAGCAATGTCGCAAGTGAGGTAATCTTCACACAACCCATGTAAAACATAAGGGAAAGAGATACATAGTTGGCTTATAATCGCCACTTCACACAAGTACATGAATAAAGCATTACATCATCCAGATACAATCAAGGTCCGACTACGGAACCAAAATAAAAGAAGAACCCCAAATGCGACAAAGGTCCCCGATCGACCCCAACTGGGCTCCACTACTGATCAACTAAAACGAAACAACACAAAGGGCAAGATCTTCATCGAGCTCCTCCTTGAGCTTGGTTGCGTCATCTGCACGGACTCAACGGTACCTGCAAGCTGGTTTTGGAAGTATCTGTGAGCCACGGGGACTCAGCAATCTCGCACCCGCGAGATCAAGACTATTTAAGCTTATGGGTAAGGTAAAGGTATGAGGTGGAGCTGCAGCAAGCGACTAGCATATATGGTGGCTAACATACGCAAATGAGAGCGAGAAGAGAAGGCAAAGCACGGTCGATAAAGGTATGATCAAGAAGTGATCCTGGACTACCTACGTCAAGCATAACTCCAACACCGTGTTCACTTCCCGGACTCCGCCGGAAAGAGACCATCACGGTTACACACGCGGTTGATGTATTTTAATTAAGGTCAACTTTGGGTTTTCTACAACCGGACGTTAACAAATTCCCATCTGCCCATAACCGCGGGCACGGCTTTCGAAAGATAATACCCTGCAGGGGTGTCCCAACTTAGCCCATCACAAGCTCTCACGGTCAACGAAGGAATAGACCTCCACCCGAGACATTCCGATCAGACTCGGTATCCCGGTACAACAAGACATTTCGACAGGGTAAAACTAAACCAGCAACACCGCCCGAATGTGCCGACAAATCCCGATAGGAGCTTCACATATCTCTTTCTCAGGGCACACTCAGATGAGACTAGCTACGAGTAAAACCAACCCTCAAGTTTCCCCGAGGTGGCCCCGCAGGCAGCTCAGTTCGGACCAACACTCAGAGGAGCACTGGCCCGGGGGGGGGGGGTAAAATAATGACGACCCTTGAGTCCGCGAAACCCAAGGGAAAAAGAGGCTAGGTGGCGAATGGTAAAACCAATGTTGGGCATTGCTGGAAGAGCTTTACTTAAGGCGAACTGTCAAGGGGTTCCCATAATAGCCCAACCGCGTAAGGGACGCAAAATCCGGGAACATAACACCGATATGACGGAAACTAGGGCGGCAAGAGTGGAACAAAACACCAGGCATAAGGCCGAGCCTTCCACCCTTTACCAAGTATATAGATGCATTAATTAAATAAGATATATTGTGATATCCCAACCAGTAAATATGTTCCAACAAGGAACAACATCTCCATGTTCCAACAAGGAACAAACTTCAATCTTCACCTGCAACTAACAACGCTATAAGAGGGGCTAAGCAAAGCGGTAACATAGCCAATCAACGGTTTGCTAGGACATGGTGGGTTAGAGGTTTGACATGGCAATTTGGGAGGCTGACAAGCAAATGGTAGGCATCGTAGCATTGGCATAGCAAAAGAGCGAGCAAACTAGCATAGCAAAGATAGTAGTGATTTCGAGGGTATGATCATCTTGCCTGAAATCCCGCAAGGAAGAAGAACGAATCCAAGAAGAAGACAAACGGTCGTAGATGAACGGATCCTCACAACTTCGACGTTATCGGAACCAACCCGAAGAAGTAAACACCGGAAAAGAAGCACACAACATAGTAAACAACCAACACATCAACATGGCATGATGCACAAACGAGTATGAGGCATGTCCGGTTTAATGAAGCATGGCATGGCAAAGTGCACAAGCAGTTCTACAAATTAAGTGGAGATCAATATGCAACGAGTTGCATGTTGACGAAACACCACAACAAGTTATTTAGTTTGATCTCGTTTATGTACCCCAACAATATTAAATGTTGATTAACATGGCAAGAGGTGAAGCACAACGAAACTACCTATCTAGGCAAGTTTAAATGAGGCCGGAAGTAACGAACAACAATTCTGGTAAATCCCCATAGCATATTTTAGATTTGGTACTGTTCTGCCCTAAACAATATTTTAGAGTTGTTAAACATGCAAGATGAGTGCACCATGTTAAACTAGACATTTTTCTACCCCATTTACATATATAATTTATTAAAATCGGAGTTACGGTTATTTAGTTATGAAATAAAGCATTTTAACATGGCATTTGAGCAAAATTAAACAAACAACATTTTAAGCATTTTAGCATGGGATGAAAATGGCATATTATTAATCTAGATGAAAAACTAAGCATTTTTCATGTTTAAATTATTTACATATGATGCATAGTTTGTGAGTTATTAAATGCATGAAGTTGAAGGACTTTTCTGTAAAACAGTTAATTCACTGGATAAAGGCTAAAATCACAGATCTGTAAAAAAACAAATCGGGCCGAAATATGCTGGGCCAGCAGTGCACAGGAGAGGGATCTGGAGGGGGCTGCTCACCCTGGGCCTTGGGCCGGTTCGGAGGGGAGGCGAGGCAGGAGGGCGCGCTGGGCCTGGAGGGAGTTGGGCCGCGCGATGAGGAACGAGGCAAGGCCGGATCTAGCTTGGGCTGGCTAGATCGACCGAGGGAGGGGATGCGGTCAACGCGCTCGATGCAGCGGAAGCAGGGCGCTGTCCTCTGCTCGACAGGGAGCAGAAGCAGAGCAGCGGCATCGGGGATCTCCGGCGCGGTGGCGAAGGACGGAGGACGTGGAACCGGGCGCGAAGGAGGGACCGATCTGACCGGCGGTGAGGTTCTGCGGGCATGGGGCGGAGGCAAACCGGCGGCCACGGACCTGGAGATTCCTGGCGGGGCTCCTGTGTTCCCTGCGAAAGAGAGGAAGCAGGGAGATGAGAGGGAGAGAGAGAAAGCGAAGGAAGGGAGAAGAGACAAGGGCGCGGGGTGAGGGTGCCGGCCTGGAGCTGCTGCTGTGGTGGCGCTCGACGGCGGCGGAAGGGTGGCCGCGCTCTGGTGGTTTGGACGCCGGTGACGGGGCTGATGGGGTGGCCGTCGGGGTCCTTGGCCCAAGCGCAAACGGGCGCTGTGCTCGCACGGGGAGAGTCGAGGACGGCCCCTTGGGCGTCGCGGGTAGCAGAGGAGGCCGAGGCTTCATGGCCGGAGTACGGCAGCGGCGGGGAAAGTTGGGGCGAGGTGCTCGGGAACGAGCGAGCAGAGGAAGGGGCACGACTGCGGTGGATCGATGGATTTGAGATTATGGTGGTGGCTGATTGGTGAATCGGGAGGAGGCTGCGGGATTGGTCCAGTGAAGAAAACGAGGGAGGTGGGTGGCGCTGTGGATGCACGGATTTGATGGGTGGCGGCGGCTGATACGAGGAGGGAGGAGGCTGCAGGAAACGAGGTGGATCTGGATCAGGGAAGAACCCGAGGAAGAAAGGTAGGTGGCGGCGCGATGGGACAAGAGGGCTAGAATTTAGGGTTGCTGCCTAGGGGATTGGTCTATATATAGAGCGCTGGATTTTTGTTAGGGGCTATTTCGTCCCGATCGAAATCAGACGGTTCGGGAAGAATAGGCTAGGGAGCCCAAATAAGAAAACGGTGACGTTTTGTAGACGTTTGGGGATGATCCGGATACAACGGTGGCGACAGCTCGGTTCGGGTCCGGGACAACTTTCGGGCGCGCGCGAGGAGGGTCGCGGGCTGACGAGAGAGGTTAGGTAGGGCATGGTGGTGAGTAGTGACTGTGTAGACGGTCTCGAGCTGAGAGAAGAGAAGAGAGGGAGGTCCGACGACTATTTCCGGAGACCGAAAACGTCCGACGTTTTGACCGGCTACTATTGCCGCTATATTTATCCGTTGGGGCGTCAAACGAACTCCGATTGCGATGAAACTGGACAGGCGGTCTGTCT